GGTTTCAGCTGTCCACACCACAGCAGTGGGCAACGAGCTTAAAGCCCCTGATGGCTCTGGGCGCTGACTCTCACCAGTGGCTATGGATGAAGTCACAGGCGATTTTCAGCCAGCGCTGGTAGAGTTTACCTTAATGATACAGATGGAGTAAAGCTTTTACCCAATGAAAACCTTTCATTTGCTGATGTGATAAGACTAAAAAATTAACATAAAAAACTGCAAACATCCTTTAAAAATTGAAATATGAGATGTACAAAGTTTGAATCAAGAGTTGAAAGTTGTGAAAATTGGAAGTAGTAAAAAATAAAATAGAAAGCCAAAAATCTAGAAATAAAAAATAAAATGGAAAGCATAAAGATCACCCTCCTAGGCATTAATGTGATTTGAGATGGATTGATACTGTCTATTTTGAATCAGACAATCATATGTTCAATTATTCTGGAAATGAAAAAATTAAAGGACAAAGATAAATTCATCATCAAAAAGAACATTCCAGGTCTATCCTAAAGTACAGTGCTGTCAATGATAGGATAACAGCCATACACATAGAAGACAGACCTTTTGATACAACTATTATTCAAATATATACACCAACACTAAAGCCAAAGGTAAAGAAATTAAGAATTTCTACTGACTTCTGCAGTTTGACCTTGATGGGATGTTTAGTCAAGATGCATTAAAGACAGTTAGTGACTACCATCAAAGACAATTAGTTAACAAAACAAGGAAGCACAGCACAATTTAAAATCAGGAAAGGTATGCATCAGAGTTGTATGCATCCTTTCTCCCAATTCAGTGAGTATGCTGAGCAAATAATTCAAGAAGCTGTGAACTATAAATGAAGAAGAATGTGGCGTCAAGATCAGAAGAAGACTCACCCCAACAAATTTCATTATGAAAATGACACATTCTTCCTTGCTGAAAGTGAAAAGGAATTAAAAAACTGCAAAAGATCAAAGGCTACAGCCTTCAATATGGGTTGCATCTCAACATCAAGAAAATAAAACACCTTACCACTTGACCAGTAGGCAACATCATGATAAATGTAGAAAACATTTAAATTATTAGCTATTTCATTTTAGTTGGATCTAAAATCAACGCACAGGGTAATAGCAGTCAATAAATCAAAGGATATATTGCATTGGGAAAATCTGATGTCAAGGAATTCTTTAAAATGCTAAAGAGCAGAGATGTCAATTTAAAGACTAAGGTACACTTGATCCAAGCCATGACTTTTCACTTACTTTCTATGCATCTGAAAGTTGGACAGTGAATAAGGATGACATGGTCTGCTAAAAGTACAAACAAATCTGCCTAAGAGGAAATGTAACCAGGGTTCTCCTTTGAGGCAAAGATGAAGAAACTTCACTACACATTCTTGGGCAAGTTATCATGAAAGATCAGTTCCTTGGAAAAAGACATCATGCTAGGAAAGGTGGAAGGTCTGAGAAAGGGAGTGAGATCCTTAACAAGATGGATTGACACAGTGACCATTCAATTTTGGAGATAGTGTAAATGGAGCAGAACAGTGCATGGGTCAGTCTGTTGTTTATAGGGTGGCTATGAGTCCTAGTCAGCTCAGAGACACCTAACAACGAAAGGAATCCTTAAGTTAATGATGCACCCACCCTTCCTCTCCCACCCCTGAAAACCATCAAAGAATTTATGTAGTATTTATGTAGACCTTTACTTGACTTTTTACAATAGTCATCTCATATAATACCTGCTTTTATATGGTTGCCTTATTTCACTCAGTATAACACTTTCCAGATTTACTCATGTTCTAAGATGTTTGCAGATGTGTTACTAGCATTGCATACTATTCTACTGTAAGTACCATCATTTGTTTATACATTGGATGAGTGCTGTTGTGAAAAGCATTATCTTTAAGAGCTCCCCATAACAGTCATGAGGGCTTGTATTCAGAAAATGAGAAGAAGAAAGGATGAATATGAGAGTACGCAGATAAAATTATAAGAACTGTTTCTGGTGTTATATGTAGTAAAACTCTTGTTGCCTATGTTGTGTGCTAACTCAGAACTGAATATAAGAAGGGGCTCTTGATGGTGTGGATTGGTCAGGACTGACTGATCTAGGCCAACATGGAAAAGCAAAGGAGTTGCCAGGAGGGTTGCTGGAGAATCAGCTTTCTTCTTTTGTTCCCCTCAAATGACAACTTTGGAGAGACCTGGCATTGCCCCATCTTAAACAAAGCCTTTCACAGCCTTCACAGCTCCTCCTTTCCCTGCTGGAAAAATTTCAACCACTCCACACTGGATTCTGGACTTGAACCTTTTTCACAGCTCTGACAACAGTGCCGACCTTTATGATGAGAAGTACTGATTGCTGCATTTGGCCACTGCTGTGGCTGGCTCTGTAGAAGAGACAGCTAGTCCCCTGATGATTAGCTTTTAGAGGTTAGCCTCTCACTTGTAGCACCCTGAGGTTGCCACCTCTGTTAATGTTAATAATGCAGTAACTGCAGTGGAAAAATCTCTACACTGGTTATACAAAGGTCTGTATTTTAATTCCTGAAGCAGCCTGTCTGGCTAAGTGATGCTAGGGTATGTTTTTAAAGTATCTTTGGACTTAATAATCTTTATTTACCTATGAAGAAAAAGAACTGGGACAAAACCATCTTTAAATTCCTTACTGTTCTGAAATTCTAAAATGATGATTTGTTGCATGTTTTCTCTGTGCCAGGCCATGTGTTATATAACCAACCAACCAACCAACCAACCAACCAGCTGCTATCACGACAACTCTGACTCATAGGCAGCCTGTGGGAGTTAGAGAAGTGTGTTCCGTAGGGTTTTCAATGGCTGGGGATTTTTTTTTTATTTTTTTTTTTTTTAGTAGTACCATAATAGTTAATATATTTTCTGTAAAGTTTATTAACTACGTAAAGTATTTTATTCCATTCTCAAACATCTAAATGAGATAAGGGCTATAATCAGTGTTAAAGACCTTGTGAAAAGCCCCATACTTGATTTTCCCCCTCTTTTTCCAGATTTGGCCTGTGCTTTTTTAAGTTGACCTGAAGAACTGTGATATGATAGAGGCATCCCAAGTGCATTGTCAGGATCAACTCTATTGGGATTAGATAGGGGTCATGTAAGACGTCTAAGTAGAAAAAGATTTTTTTTTTCCTCCAAGAGAACTATGTCTACTAAATAGCAGAGGCCCTGGGTAGTGCAAGTTGTGAATGCCATTCCTTGGGAATGGGAAGGTTGGAGGTTTGGGACCGTCAGAGAGATTTTGGAAGATAGGCATGGCAAGGAGTGCATAGGTTGGCATGTAGGGAAGTAGTGCTTTATATGAAAGGAAAAGGAAGTAATAAAATAATTTGTCCTGACATTCAGTTCTCAAAGGAGACAATATAATTGCAGAATTTTAGAGCTAGAAGGTTTGGAAGAAAATTAATTCTATGCTGCCTAGCTGTTCACTTTTTTATTATTCTAAAAAGCTAAGGATTGTCAGAAAAATGGGCAAATTGATAAATTTAGGTGTTCTTAGATACCTGTAAATCTGTCACAGTTTCCATGTTAAGAATTTTTGGTTTGGCATAAACCTATAGTTTTACAAATAGGAAATTGAAATGAGTCTCATGGAAAGTTAAGGGACGAAAACCACCTGTATTAATATTGACAGCATTCCCTCTTCTTTCTTTGACTAATGTCACAGCCCAGATCCAAAAGAGAAATTGCCAATCCTTCCTATGTGAGAACTTCAGTTTATTGGTAGTGCAACCAGAAGGTAGAAGAGTAAACAGATTTATCTGAAAAATTATTTTTTCTATCAAGATGGTATGATTAGATTTCTTGGACAATATCTGTATCTTCTCTCTCTCTCTTTTTTTATTTTTCAGCTCAAAAAGAAGAGAGGAAAAGTGGAAGTGAGACCCATTAACTTGGGGACAGACTATGAGTATGGTGTTGTGAACATTCATCTGACCGCATATGACATGGCCCTGGCAGAGAATTATGCCCAATATATTCACAACTTCTGCAATGATCTCTCCATTAAAGTTGAAGAAAGGTATGAAGGTTACCTGCTGGGTTGGAAGAATGTCTTTAAATATGATGTTCTTGGCATAGATAGCAGAAACCCATCACCCTTGAGTCTATTTCCATTCATGGTGACCCTCCACTGGGTTTCCAAGGTTGTAAATATTTACAGGAGACTGTCTATCTTTCTCTGCTGGAGAACCTGGTGAATTTGAATTGTTGACTTTTCAGTAAGCATTCTGACACATAACATGCTATGACATCGGGGCTACTATGGGTTGCATGCTCTGGTATTTTTTTTTTTAGATATAATTTACATGTAGTAAAATTCACTCTGCTTAGGTGTATAATGCTATGAATTTTGACAGATTTGTACAGTAGTGTAACTACCACTGCAAAAAACCTCAATATTTTCCACTGCAGTTCTATTTCCCCAAAATGTTCTCAAGTGCCCAGGCAAAGTCACTCTCCTTCTTTCCTCCCACACCCCAGGATCCAGGCAACCACTGATTGTATTTTCTTTTCCCCAAAAGTAATAATTTTTTATTTTAACTACAAAATATGATAAACTAGGAGGAAACTGCTGAGTGAAATAAGTACATATCAGTAATTAGGGAAAAAAATGTTTCTTTCATGACTTAAAATGCATAGCATTGGCAGGGAAATGCACAGCATTGCAACAAATACTACATTTTCATTTAATTGGGCTGGATTTCCTTTTGTTGTCATAGCACTTAACAACAACAACAAAGGAAGAAAAACCTGGTGATCTCTGTCAAGCATCTGCCAGTGAAAAACTGTGGATTACAGAGGTCTAATCTGTAGTTAGACCAGGCAGCATTTTGTTCCATTGTCATGGAGTTGCCACAAATTAGGAACTGACTAGATGCTAATTAACAACAGTAATAATAATAACAATAACAGTAATAATAACATATTAACATGTTGTTAATTGATTATTGAAACTCCAAAGTTATCTTTTTTCTAAATAGTTTTAACTATTTTTTATGTTAATTTATTTATTTTTCATTTCAATGAACATCTACAGAGATTTTGAAATTCCATAGTTTTAACTATTTTAAGTCTTTTGGTTTTCCATATAAACTTTAGAATCAACTTGTTGATTTTAGAAAAAAAAGTTAGGTTGAATCTGTAGATCAATTTGGGAAGACATGACGTAATTATTATAGTCTGCAGATTCATCGGTTCTGTATATCTCTCTATTTATGTAGGTATTCTTTGCCTGCTATTTTTTATTTAATGAAAAGGATTTGTTTAAAAGGAAAGGAAGGAAACTAACATTTACTGACTTACATAAAGATCAGGTTCTTTTTTAAACATAAATTTATTTTAATTGTGATATTAACAAAAGTTTACATAAAAGTTGGATTTTCATTCATTGTTGCACATTTTCCTCCCTCTTCCTCCTCTCCTCCCCCTCCCCCAGTTCACTTTCTTTTCTTTTCTTTTTTATATTTATTCATTGTTGTACAATTTCCTCTCTTCCCACCCCCTGTCCACTTTGCAGTGTACTACTTATTCTGGGCTATTGTCATATATGTAATGCCTAAACATATATAATGCTTAAACATATATTCCTTTTAAACAGTTCTTTCCTTCATCTGTTCCAGTGCAGTGTTCATTATTTATCCATTCTTTTCCTATTCTCCTCCCAAACCCCCATGTCAGTCCTGCTTTATAACGGTGCTGTTTTGCAGTATTTGTCCATTTGTGACCGAGATATTTCACTGAGGATAATGTCTTCCAGGGTCACCCACATTGTGTAATGTTTTACAAGTTCATTGTTTTTCAGTGCTGCATAGTATTCCACGGTGTGACCATATCATACATTTTCTATCCATTTGTTTGTTGGTGGTCACTTGAGTTGCTTCCATCTCTTTGCTGTTGTCCATATGCAGCAATAAACATGGGTGTACAAACCTCTGGATGGTGGTTCTGATTTCTTTAGGGTATATTTCCAGTAGTGTAATTGCTGGGTCCAATGGTATTTCTATTTCCAACCTTTTGAGAAAGTGCCAAATCACCTTCCCGAGTGGTTGCACCATTTTATACTCTCATAGCAGTGAATAAGGGTTCCAGTCTCTCCACAACCTTGCCAGCATTTCTTGTTTGCTAATCTGTTGAACTTTGCTGTTGTTGCTGGAGATGATAGCTCACAGTTCTTTTGATTTGCATCTCTCTGATAGCTAGGGATTGCGAACATTTCTTCATGTGTTTGCTTGCCATCTGAATGTCTTCTTTGGTGAATTGTCCATATCCTGTGCCCATTTTGTGATTAGGTTGTTGAGGTGCTGGAGTAGTCTATAAATTTTAGATGAGCCCCTTAGCAGCTATGTCATTACCAAATATTTTTCCCAGTCTGTGGCTTTCCTTTTTATCCTGTTGGAGAAGTTTTTTTATGTGCATAGGGATTTGATTCTTACAAGTTCCCATTCATCTGTTTTGTTCTCTACAGGTTGTAGGTCAGATCAGGTTCTTTATGTACTTAGTGTGTCTTACAAAGTATGGGATATCATGAATATCATATAATTTTTGTTTTTATTTAGAATTCAAGTTGAAGTTTACATAGCATATTGGCGTTTCTCTCAGCCATTTATTCATATATTATTTAATGACATTGATCATATTATCCATACTGTATCCCACTCTTCCCCCTTCTCTCTGTGGTTCTTGTTTCTGTCAATCCCTCCATCCTCTTCCCTTCATTCCTTCTGAATTTGATCCTTGGACAAATATTGCCCTCGTGACCCTGTGTGGTCGGGTATTCTAACTGCTGAGTGTTTCCTTAGTGTTATTGCTCGTTGTTTGGTAGCAAATTGTGCCAAGCTCAAAGGATAGTTAAGAGCCTTAGTTGATTCTTGTAGTTTCTCCGGTGACTCTTGTGGAGATCTTGTTATAAATTCTGATTTAGTTTATCTAGGATGGCTATTATTATGTGCCATCAAGTCAGAACCAACCCACAGCTGACCCTCCAGTGGGTTTTCAGAGTCTGTAAATGGCATTGGAAGAAATTGCCCATCTTTCTCCAACAGAGCAGCTGGTGGATTTAAACCATGACTTTGGGATTGCAGCACAGCTTCTTACCATTAGATCACTAGAGCTACTTGTAGAAATGCAAATTCAGCTTAGCGTTGAGCTGGAATGAATCCATTTGGAGCCTTCATGTCTGAGAAGGCCTGTGATACAGTGATTAAGCCCTCAGTTGCCAAGGGAGAGTCGATATTTAAACCCATCAGCCCACTGCAGGCCAAAGATGTGACAGTTATTCTGTAAATATTCACAGCCAGGAAACACTGTGAGGCAATTCTGTTCTCTCGTCTAGGACCACCATCAGTTAGAAATAACTCAATGTGCATGGGGTTGGCTTTGTTTGGGGATTATCTAGCTAGATTTTATAATACTTTGTATTCCCTTTAAATACTTATTTGCTACTTCTAGATTTTAGAGATGTAAACTTATAATATTGTAATTACAATAAGCAGATGTGCAACCCTAGTTATATTTAACTTTCCTTATTTTTATAACAAGTAATACTGGTTTTAAGTCAGGTTTTTGATATATAGTTCACACTTAATAAAATCACCCTTTTAGGTAATAGTTCTGAAAGCTTTAATAAATGCATGGGAGTTATGGAAAATATCATGATCAAGATATAAAACATTTTCATCATCCTCCAAAGTTCCCTACCAGTAGGCCCTGGCGATTACTGATCAGTCTCCTGGCTCTATACTTTTGCCTTATTCAGAATGTCATATAAGTAGAATATTACTGCATTTATTCTTTCTAATTTGGGTTCTTTCATCAGCATAATTAATTTAAGATTCTTCCATGTTCTTCCCTATGGCATAAGTTTATTGGGTTTTTTGGTTGCTGAGGAGCATTGCATTGAATGGATGCACCACAGTTTATATATATCCATCAGCAGTTAAAGGACATTTGCATTGTTTCTAATTTTGGGCAATTTTTAATAAAGCTACTACATGATGGGAAAATCTGCTGTTTGGCATCTCTCCAAAGTACTGAAGAGCAATGGTATCTTTATGGAGACTAAGGTGCATCTGATACAGGCCATAGTCTTTGCAATCACTTGTTATGCATCAGAGAGTTGGACAATGACCAATGAGGATCGAAGGAGAATTGATGCCTTTGAGCTGTGGTGCTGGAGAAGAGTATTGAGAGTACCATGGACTGCTAGGAAAACAAACAGATTCATCCTGGAAAGGGTTAAACCAGGCAGCTCCTTGGAGGCAAGGATTCTGAGGCTTCGTGTGACATACTTTGGTCATGTTGTAAGGAGAGACCGGTCTTTGGAGAAGGACATCATGCTTGGTAGGGTGGAGGGACAGGGTAGGAGGGGAAGGCCCTCTATGAGGTGGATTGATTCAGTGACTGGGGTAATCGGGATGGGTGTATCAGAGACAGTGGGATTGGCAAAGGACAGAGCAGAGTTTAGGGCTGTTGTACATAGGGTCACTATGAGTCGCAAGCGACTCAACGGCACATAACAACAACTATAAATATGGACATGTTTTTGGAAAACTGGAGTTTTCATTGCTTTAGGATGGGATTTCTGAATTGGATGGTAAGTATATATTTCTTTTTTACTTTAACTTTTTTAAATATTTCATTATTAGAAAGTACCAGACTGCTTTCTGAGTTCCAGTTGGATGCATATCTCAAATTCTTTGTAATATTAATTTTTTAAAGTTGTTTAAAGAAACATGTTAAATAAATCCTTGTTTGGATGGCTTCCCATTGTGGCATAGTAGTACAGCACAGAATGTATATATGGCAAAAAGGATTCCTTTTTTAATAATTATCACAGTTTGTTTGATTTAAAAATGTTAATGTGTTACCATTTTATAGATGAGGAAACCAAGGCTCAAAAGCTAAGTAACTTGCTCAATGTCACAGATGAGTAAGTTGCCAGGAGTCAAACTCAGTTCTGGCTGATCTTAGGATTTTAAATTATATGTCTACCTTTAAGTTCTTAGCCAAATTTGAACCTTT